CTTATTTATTATGTGTTTGTTATCTTAGTTTTACTCTTATACCTATGCACACATTATCACAGTTATTCAATATTCATCATTGCACCTACCTTTGAATGTGTAAATGAAAACCATAGATATAAAAGAATTCATCAAACCAATATGTGTACAAATATCGAAAGAGCTATTTCAAATACAATGTCATCGTATGCATCAAATATACAATTAGAAATTATTTTTAATATTCCATTACAAGATAATATCGATGAATATCAATGTCAATTTCATTTAACTAATGACAAAGAATTTTTCTTTTGTACAAATGCTCTTCCTCTTGATGATAAAGCGTTAAAATGTTTACCTCCTATCCTAAATGATGTAAATCAAACTGTTTACAATGTTGTTTTATCAGTTCATCATGTAATACATATTCTAATCAATTTATATGGAGTCTTCAAACAGTAAATTGTATATCACATAAATATAAAAGGTCTTTATTAATTAATCATAAATGTCTAATAAAAAAATTCTCATCAATGTCCTCATATGTATTTACAACAATCAATAAATCGTCTTGCTCATAATAATAATAAAACATTAACAATACATATTAAATAATGTAATGAAAACATGAATATTAATTCGTGGCAATTAAATGATTATCTCAATCGTTTTCTATTTATTTCAACAAATTCAACATTTATTAAATCAACAAATGAAACTCATCTTTGTTTATTAGAATGTTCTTTTGAATTATCTAACTCAGAAAACCTTCATCAAATATCATTTCATCGACCAACACATCTTGATTTTTCAATACAATTTACAAATGGAACGTCACTTATTATTCCACGCACGCATGTGTCTTTATATCATTGTGAACGTATGGCATTAAATTGTACATCATGTTTACAACTTGATCCATCTTTTGGTTGTATTTGGTGTAATAATATGTGTACGTTTAAGAGCCAAACAACAATAAGTCAATTCATATGTCCAAATAGTCAAGAATGTTTATCACCTATGATAGAAACGATTGAACCATTATTACTACCAATGAATGGAGGAATATTAGTGACAATTAAAGGAAATCATTTTGATTTATTTAATTTATCTATTTATTTAGCTGATGTACCTCGACACTTAATTGAAGACGAGAGTTCAAATAATAAAATTGTATGTCAATCTGGTGATGCTGGATCAATACCATGCACTGGCTTTATTCGTCTGAAATTCGGTGTAAACGGTCCATAAATTTCTTCTCGTCAAATAATATCATATGTAAATCCAACAATTAATTTTATTGAACCACCTATTGGTATTGAAAGTGGTGGTACACTTCTAACAATTCATGAAAAAAATAAAAAATAAAAAATAAAAAATATTCCAAAACAAATCATCTTTGTTATGATTCAGAACATCCATGGATTATTGTTACTATTGATAATATACATTCACATGTTAGATATATGATGTATCCAAAGAAGATTATTATTCTTGACATCATTAGTGGATGTTTATTAACAATATTATTCGTTATTCTTATCGTTCTTATTATTGTTTGCATAAAAGTACATTGTACTCAACGAAAAAATCTCGCCGACGATATTTATATGTTTTAATCGTACAAATAAATATTCAACAGCAACAACAACAACATTAAATGATTCATACAGAGATTCAACTAGTTTATTATGAGATGATATTGATAATACAAATGAACAAATAAATCATTTGATTTTATACTAGTCCTATATATATATATATACATACATATTATCACCTACTTTATGTTATTAATACGATCTTAAAGATCGATTGATATACAACAGAATTCACGGAGCACTTTTCATATTCGTCGCATGGATATATTCACACACAAATACTTAATGTTTATTTAATATTTATTATTTATGTCCTATTCTCATTTGTATACAAACTATAAAACATCTAACATTCATCATTTGGTTTTACTTATATATTTATATATTTATCGTTATTATATGATCAATATTTGTTTTGTAGTCCTACACTTAAACTCATGCACATATTCTTATGACGTAGTGAACATGCATCCTCCAAAACTGATGCGGACATATACTTAAATAAAAAAGAACAATGTATATTGACTTAATATGGATCTTCATATTCACATCACGTTAATTTAATCCTTACATCGCTAAATTAACATT